GCATGGAATCTGTGCAGGGAGCCCCTTGGTGCGCAAGAGGCCACTGGATGTTTTTTCCAACCTTAACAGCTAGCTGAGAGCAAGGTCGGAAGAAGAGGGTGTGGGTGGAGCCAGGGCCACCAGATGGAAGCAGGGGATTTCTGACTGCTCTTGTGATTTCTGAACCAAGGCCTCTGGCAGATGCAAATGTCAACTGGAGGAGGAGATCTCAGAGGTGGAGGAATCCAGGGAACACAAGGTCCGGGTGTGATGATGGAGTGGAGCAGGGGAGGTGAGGCAGAGAGTGGTGGGAGCCAGAAACCACCTCCCTGAGGCTGAGCTCCCTGGGGACAGCAACAGGAGTGCCTGCCCTTGAGGGCTGAGGGCTGCCTTGGCCTAAAGGACAATGACTCATGCAGAGCAAAGGAAGGAGGGAAGGGAGGGCCCCAGAGCTGTAGGGGGACAGGGTCCCGTGGGCAGAGGGGCTAGCATTTTGGACCACAATCGCGGATTTCTCAGGATGACTGACACAAATGGAAGAAGTCAGCTTTGAGAGAGGCCCAACCACTGCAGCCATAGTTTGGGTGACACAGCAGAGGGTCAGAGTGAGGTCATGACCCGTCCTGCCTCAGGCATAGAGGTGCAGGTGACCCTCAGACTCTGATTTGTCTTGGGTGGACACTTCATTCTAGAACCTGGTCAGGAAACAGGCACCTCTGCCTCACAGATGGAAAGGCTCTAGAGGGGCAGGCCCACCTTCTCAAGCCACAGAAAGCAACACTCAGCACCTTTGGACCTGCAGGGCTGTGTTCTCGCCTGGGAAGGCCATCTGCAGGTGGCTGAACCCCACCCCTCCTGCCACCCTGGGGCTCCTAACCTGGTCCCTGTCTTAGCTCCAGGCCACGCTGCACCACAGGCCCTGACTGCTGCTCCCCACCGTGGAGTGCCTGGGGCCTGCACCCACGGGGCAAGATTTTCCCAGACACCTACTGAACGGAAAAAGTGCCCAGCTCCCAGGTGCTCTTGTGTGGGTGCCGCTTCCCTCCACGTGACTCTCAGCCACAGCTGCAAATTCCAGTTTTATCTCGGTTGTGTTTTTTAGCCTGTTTGCCTTTGATTATGGTTTAGTTTTGAAAGGGAAGGGGCATACCCTCTCAGCTCCTTTTTTTTTTTTTTTCTTTCTCGGAGTAACGAGGCTTATTTATAGTGGAATTATTTTTTCCATTATGGCACATTTGGTTTCATTATTCTGCTGCCTTGCATTTTGAATTGCATAGGGGAAGAAACCTATAAAGGAATATTCCACCCCACCCCACCTCCCTGGAGCTGATTGTAGGAAAAAAAAAAAAAAAGACAAAACAGTCTATGAGTCATTCTGCACCATTGTAATTTTTTGCCCTTGACCAATAGAATTACAAGTCTGTGTGAACCGTGTCACTCAGCTTAAGTGGACGTGAGGTTCAAAGTACAAGTATCTGTGGTACCACCTGCTTGGGAGGCTGAGGCAGGAGGACACTTGAGCTCAGGAGTTCAAGGCCAGCTTGGGCAACCTAGTGAGACAGTGTCTCAGGAGAAAAAGGAGGGAGGAGGAGGAGGAGGAGGAGGAGGAGGAGGAGGAGGAGGAGGATTATTCAAAATATGGAGAAGCCTAGAATCATACCCTGAGTCCATTTCTTCCCTCACTGGTGGTTCTTTCTAAGGATGAAGTATGATGCTGCAGAGCACAATCCTCAGGCTTCTGGAAAGAAGTTGTCCATTTTGTTCTTCTGCCTTTCCATTCAAACTGGCTGAAAACACCACTAACTCCAGGTATCTGGGCAGAATCTTTGGTTACAGCACTGGCCACTCAGGTTACTTCTCTATTGCCCTGGTCTTTGCTCTCTTAGGCCTAGAAAGAGGACAAGGAAGACCTCTCCCCTTGGGATCCAGGAGGTTCCTTGATTGCTCAAGTTGGCTTTGCGAAAGACTTGGCTGAATTTCACATCAATGTTGGTCACATATTCTAAAGTCCTAGGTTTGAATCCATATTTCTTGCTGTTTTTATAATGTTCAATCATGAACGACAGGGATGTCTTCTGTGAAATGAATCATTGGGTGTGTTTGGCATCATGCAAATACATTATGTGAGTGTACTTACACAAACTAAGATGGCTACAATACGACTAGATGACACTAAATTATGGGACCACCGTCATGTCTGTGGTTCGTCATTGACCAAAACGCTGTCATGCATAACTCTATCTAAATAAGAGGCTTATGCATCTTTCTTCATTTCTAGGAGAGAAAATGGAATCGCAGGGGAGGGCTCAGCCTTGCTTGAAATCCCCCAATTTAGGGGAAGAGCTTTGATCAAACCCTCTTGCTTCTGCTTCAATTTGTACAGATGAAAGAGAAGCAGATCTTTGCCAATTTGTAATGCTCTCCAGGAGAGAGGTGGGGGTGCCGAGCATCCCCTTTTCCTCTAGTTGCTTGTTCTTCAGCTGCTTTAAAAAGTATCCTGCCAACATGGAGAAATCAGAACTCTCCTCCACCACGGGGGAATGCAAAATGATACAGCTCCTTTGGAAAACAGACTGGCAATTCCTAAAAACACTAAATATAAAGTTAGCACATAATCCAGTAATTCCACTCCTAAGTAAGGATTCCCAGGACAATCGAAAAATGCATGTGCCTAATAAAACTTGTGCACAAATGTTCACGTCAGCATGGTTCACATTATTTTTTCTAAAGATAAATTAAGTGAGATCTTTGTTATTTGTTTTGTTCCTTACCTAGTCATATCTTTTTGGAAACAATTCAATAGTGGGATGAATATATGATTTTCCCTCACCCCCAGTTCTTCTTCTTTCCGTGGTAAGGAGGGGTTCCACGGCTGAGGTCAGCTTTGGCCCACAGCCCCAGGGTCAGGCCTGTGTTCATCTGTGGAGATTCGAATCATAATATTGCAAGCTAGATTTACCTTCCTTGGGAATTTAGTTCCTTTTTATTTCCAAACAGATTTTCTTTATTTCATCCTATTTATTTCTGCACCCTGCCTCAAGCTCTGACAAATTTGAATTTTTCCAAAAGCACAGAGAAATGCATTATTCCAATTATGATGATTATCTGTAGTTGTTCTTTTAGTTTATAATCATGAAAAGATGGAATTCAATATTTTTTTTTCCTTTGGCTGTTTTATTGTTTTGCATTCTGCGTTTCCATAATTTTGCTTTCAGTCTCCTCATTGAATTTTTGATCTCTGAAATAGCAATTTTAAATAGCTGTCCGATGGCATATGTATCCACAACAGAGAGTGTTGCCAAGCATACAGAATGATCGGACTCCTTACCGAAATACTGAATGTCTATGCAGCGGAGTCCACGTACAGACCTGAGACTGAGATCTGGAATGTGGCTCCATGATGAAGACTGACAGCTTCCAGTGGGTTGAGACTCGCATTGAACTTAGCAGTCCCCCAGTGCTACCTAACAAAACAATGTGATTCTCTTCTCTGCATGGTCACAAGTGCCCACTAAAGCTCACATCCTGCCTGTTCAGAACCACTTGCTGTGACCCACACTTTCCATGCTCTGGATCTTTGCTGGTGCGAGAGGACTCCTTTCCATCTGCCAGGGATGTTCCTCCTCCCCTGTTCACTGGGATGCTCTTCTGAACCCAAACCAGCCTGGGTACTCTCCAGGGGCTTCTGGAGAGTCTCGCTGGGCCTCCTCAGCACATCACATACTGGTTGCACCTGCCAATATGTCTGTCCCTCTTTTCCGGCTAAGGGTATTTTCTGTACCATGGATCTCTTTGGCAGTTGATGAAGCCTCTGGATCTCATGTCAGAATCCTGTTTTTGAATGCATAAAACACATGGGGTTCTAGTTCAGGGCAAGTTGGAGGAAGCACATTCCACCTTGTTTCCTAGTGAATGCTGCTGTGAATCCCATCTAGAACGTATGGAATAGCTACTCGAAGACTCAAAAAAAAACCCAAAAACAAATATGAGAGTATTGGCCAGGAAGACAGAATCTCAGGTCCTGCTGACCTGGTGATGAGTTATCATTTTTCCTTTTCTAGAATGATCTGCCCTCGATTCAGCACAGCCTGGAACCCAGAAATGGACACCCTCCCAGACAGAAAGAGACCCTGGGGCAACCCAGAAGGAGATCTCCTGACACTCAGAAGGGAGGGAGAAATCCCATGGTGTTTTCCTTGGCTCCCTTCTCCTGTGTCCCGGCTCCCACGCAATCCTGAGAAGGTCAGGGCCCGAGATCTTTCAGGAGTCTTAGACTCTGAGGAAGGGGACTCTTCCCTGTGGGCAGAGAAGATGCAGTCCCAAAGGGTGGGAAAACCCCCAGTGCTAGTTTTCCCCCCTCGCTGCCCGCCCATAGCCTGTCCCAGAACACAGAGAGGATTGTGGGAAGTGCAAGTAGAAGAGGCTCCTGGGAACTAGAAAGTACCAGGAGAGGGAAGAGCTCAGAAGAGGAGCCCTATAAAGTGGTTCATGAACTACTGGCTCCCTGCTGAGAAGTACAAAAATAGACCTGACCCTAAATAACATACCACCGACTTTGAGAACTGAATTACAAAACAAAACATTGCCCAGGTCCCAGGCTGGCCACTGGCCACTGGCCACCACACGTATCCGTGAGGACAGATCTGAAGTCCTGGAAAACAGAACTGAGATTGTAACCACTACCTATGGAAGATTGGAACTTGTGACCCCAATTCAACCAGGTAACAAGACATTTTTTACAGAGTTTAAATCCATAGTCTTCTGACATAATCATCAAAATGTCCAGGTTATAATAAAAACAGGCTCAGCATATACATGAAGAATGTGGAAGATCTCCACACGTATAGGAAGAGAGAATCAGCAGAAGCCAGTGTTGACAGGACACAGAACTTAAAGCAGCTGCTGTAAAAATGCTGCAGTTTATGTCTTTTAGTACTGGGGATGGGACCCAGAGGCACTCTACTGCTGAGCTATATTCCCAGGCCTTTTTGTTTTTTTTTCAAAACAGGTCTCTCAAGTTGCCAAGGTTGACTTTGAACTGCCCCCGCCTCCTGAGTTGCTGGGATTGCAGAAGTACACCATAGCACCCAGCGAACATTCTTGGAATAAATGAAAAGATAAAAAAATGTTAGGAAAGAAACTGAAGATACAAAGAAGCCCCAGAAGGACATGGCAGAATTAAAAACTCATGTAACCGAAACACAAATCTCACCCGATGGGCTCCACAGCAGAATGGCGATGACAAAGGAAAGAGTCTGTGAACTTCAGTATAAATCAACAGACATTATAGACTCTTCATAACTCAGGGAGAAGAGACTGACACAGACCAGAGCTTCGGGAACCTGGGAGGGATTACAGAAAGTCCAACAGTCTCGTCTTCAGATTCCTGGAAAGACAGAAGAAAGAATGTGGTGTATATAAGAAGTTTGAAGAAACAATGGATGAAAGTTTCCCAGATTTGGGGAAAATATATAAACCTACAGGTATCAAGAAGTCTAGGAAAAGCCAGACACAGTGGCACACACCTGTAATCCAGTGACCTGGGAGGAATCCCAGTGACCTGGGAGGCTGAGGCTAGAGGATCCAGTTCAAAGACAGCCTCAGCAACTTAGCAAGGCCTACACAACTCAGTGAGACCCTGTCTCAAAATAAGACATAAAAAGGGCTGGGGATGTGGTTCAGTGGTTAAAAAAAAAAAAAAAAAAAAAAAAAAAAAAAAAAAAAACCTGGGTTAAATCCCCAGTACCTAAAAAAAAACAAGAAGTCTCTGAAACCCCAAACAAAACCATACCCAGATACATCATTCTCAAACTGCTGAAAACTAAAGAAAAAAAAATTGTTTACAATAGCCAGAGAAAAACAACACATTACTTAAGGGGGAATAGGCTTCAAATTTCCTCCTGATTTCTCCAGAAGGAAATGGAACATTTTTCAAGTGCGGAAAGAAAAAAACTGTCAACTCACAATTCTATTTCCAGTAAAAATGTCCTCCAGGAAAAAGACAAACGAAGGCTTTCTTGAGTGGAGGAAACTGAGAGGGCTCGTGGTCACTAGCCCTGCTGCTACAGAAGTTCTTCAGGCAGATGAAGCAAAGTGGGAGTACGAAGAAGCTGAGAAAAAGAGCGATAGAAATGTAAGAGCCTAGGTCAATTAATAGACTATTCCTCTCCTGAGTTCTTCAAGATGTATTTGATGCCTGAAAACAAAAATTACAACATTGTTTAAAGGGTTCTTACCACATTGTTTAAAGGGTTCTTAATATATTTTAATGGAATGAATAAGACAACCACAACGTGAGGGAGGATAAATGGGAACCCACAGGTTGATAACATATCACTTGAAGTGGCAAAAAATTAATTCCATATAGACTGTGAAAAATTGAGTATGTGTATTTTAACCCCTAGAATAAGTACATAAAGAGATATTTAGCAAAAACATAAGAGATAACTGGGCATGGTGGTGCACACCTATAATCCAGGTAATTGGGAGGCTGAGGCAGGAGGATTGCAAGTTCAAGGCCAGCCTCAGCTAGGGAGACCCAATATCAAATAAATAAGTAAATAAGGTTGGAAGTGTAATTCAGTGGAGAGCACCTCTGTGTTCAATCCCGAATACAAAAAAGAAAAAAAAAAGCAAACGATAAAATAGAAAATATTCAAAATAACCTAAAAGAAGTTAGGAAAATGCAAAACACAGAAACTAAAAATAGAGAGGGCCGGGGTTGTGGCTTATGAGGTTGAGTACTTGCCTAGCATGTGAGAGGCACTGGGTTTGATCCTCAGCACCATATAAAAATAAAATAAAGATATTTTGTCCATCTATAACTAAAAAATAAATATTAAAAAATAAAATTAGAGAAACATAAAACAAGTAATTGTTGGGTTTTTTATAAAAAACCCAACAATTATTACACTGAATGTAAATGGACTAATTAAAAGATAGATTGCTAGGGCAAAATTTTAAAATGACTCAATTATATGATGTCTACAAGAAACTCATTTCAAGTATAATAATAATTGCAGGCAGGCTAAAAAGAACATATAAATGAATACAATAAAGTAGACTCCAGAACAAAGAAAAGTATCAGGGATAAAAGAGATAGTACATACACTTTTCACTAAGAAGACAAACAGTCCTGAATGTGGATGCACCAACCAAACAACTGAGCTGGAAAATATAGGATGCAAAAGTTAACAGAACTGGAATGAGAAACAGGCAATCCACCCTCAGAGATGGAGGCACCAACATTCCTGTCAGTGATCAACAGAATTTAGCAGGCAATCAGCAAGGGCACACTGCAGAAAACCAAGCAACACTGTAAACAGCTGGTTCTGACTAACATTTACAGAACAAGCCACTGAACAGCAACAGAATACACTTTCTCTCAAGTTCACGTGCCATTTTCACCCAGATAGACCATATCCTAGGTCATAAAACAATTTTTAACAAATTTAAAGACTAAAAATCATACCAAGTATCTTCTCTGGTCATAATGCAATTGGACTAGAAATCAATACAGAATAAGAAAATCTCTATACTTTTGGAAATTAATCAGCACCGTTAAACTTGTAAATACTTCAAAGGTCAAAAAGGAATTCTCATAGAAATGTGAAAACATTTTGAACTGAATGAATATGAAACACAATAAATCAAAATTTGTGGGATGCAGCTATAGCAGTGCTTAGAGGAAAATTTATACCATTAAAGCATTCAAATTGGAAAAGAGAAAAGTTCCAAACTAACAATCTAAGTGGCTGCCTTAAGAAACTAGAAAAAGAAGAGCAAAATAAAACCAAAACAAGAAGGAAAGAGAATAATAAAAAATTAAAGCACAAGGGTTTGGGCTGGGGCTCAGTGGCAGAGTACTTGCCTCCCATGTGTGAGGCCCTGGATTCAATCCTCAGCACTACATGAAAGAAGGAAAGAAGGAAAGAAAGAACGAAAGAAAGAAAGAAAGAAAGAAAGAAAGAAAGAAAGAAAGGTAGGTATCGTGCTTATCTACAGCTAAAAAAAATTAAAAAAATAAAAGCATAAATCAATGAAACTGAAAACAATTTCAAAACAATATAGAAAGTCAATGAGCTCAATAAAATTGATGAACTTATAAAATGACTGGCAGAGAGAAAAAAACCACAATTACCAACATGAGCAATGGAAAAGAGGCCATTACTACAGACTCTGATTATAAATTTAACAATTTAGATAAAATGGAAAAATTCTGTAACAAGTTACCAAAGTCACCCAAAAAGCATGTCGATAACTATTGCTATTTTAAAGTTGAATTTGTAGTTTAAATCCTCAATTAAAAGCAATCTCCAGGCACATATTCTAACATATGAGCATATACTACCAAATATTTTAAAAAGAAATACAATGAATTCTGCATAATTTATTGTATTTTCTTCCAGAAAATAAAAAGGAGGAAACACTTCCTAAATTATTTTACATGGTCAACTTACCCTGATACCAGAGCCAGACCAAGATGGTGCAATAAAAGTACTGAATAATATCTCTCATGAACATGTTGCAAAAACATTAGCAAAATATTAGCAAATACCCAGCAATACAGAAGCATACAAAAAGACATTTAACATAATTGACCATCAGGGAAATCCAAATTAAAATCCTGATGAAATATAGCCACACGCCTGTTAGAATGGTAAAAATAAAAAGTGCTGACAATCCTGAGAACTCCCAATAATGCAAAACAATTATGTGAACTCTGATATATCACCATCAGGAATGGAAAAGTGCACAGTCACTCTGAAAAAAACCACTTGGCAGTTTCTTCTAAAACTAAGCACACACTTAACATATGACCCAGCAATCCCAAGTGAACAGATCATTCATGGTCACAGAAGTCTGCATGAATGTTTATAGTGGCTCTGCTCGTGATCACCAGTAACAGGAAACAACCCAAATGTCCTTCAATGGGCAAATGGGTAGACAAACTGTGACACATTCCTACAATGCAATACACCACCGTCAGCAATGAAGGACAGAACTATTGACTTTGATAAATCCTAAAGATATGCTGAGTGAAAGAAGCCGGTCTCGAAAGTTTGGCAGTACCGTATGATTCAACTTATGTGAAATTCTTGATAAAACTCAGGGAGAGAACAGATCAGTTATTTCCAAGAGTGAGAAGCCAGCAAAGACTAGTGCTGTAATCTTTTCCCCAAATTCAGGACCCCCAAGTTTTAATTATTGACCACTTGGGAGGAGAATCTACGGATCCTGGGTTAAAACCCTGATGTAGCACATATGCTGTGTAGAAAATGTGTCCATTTTGTTCATCCTCTAGGTAGAGTGGCTTGGCACATAGTACATGCTCAATTATTTGGTGAATGGACAAACTATCAAATGGTTTAAGCATTAAACAGTGCATTGGGAGATTCAAAGAAAGACAGGTGCATTTGTTTAACAGGCAGTCACCACTGGTAATTATTAGCTGGACTTCCTCTGATGACTCTCTTAACTGTATTTTTCTGCCTGGGGCATTGACCAAGTTTTGCCTTGTGTTGCTGTACCTGCACTGTTTCTGAGTACTTCTCCAGTTTCTGTCCAGAGTAGGGAATACAATTAAATTTGGAAGTCCATAATTAAATGCCTATTGTCACCAAAAGTAGTAGATAACTGTCATTGTTTAGAGTTTGAGATGTATCAGCTCTGTAGGACAGGAGTTAGTCGGGCAATGCTGAGATAATAATAAGATTCCCTCAAATGGGCCCCACAGAAACTAATCACCAGAAGGTCCTGGAAGAGTTGTACAGACTGAATGAGTTGCTACACTCTCCTGACCCTGCCATGTGCCAGTGATCTTTTCTGATGGTCTCTGGGGGGGTCTGTTTCATAGAGCTAAATAAAAGATTGGGAGGGGCTAATGCCTTAGGTCAAGCCCAGTCTAAGAAGTCCTTGATGGTAAGACCAACCATTATTTTATACATTGATAAGACAAAAAACAAAAAACAAAAAAACACTGCCAACAGACTCTGATGGATGACTTTAATGACAATCTTGAATGGCATCTGAATCAATCACATCAGATTCCTTTTAAATTAATCTTTCTCTCTTCTGGGGAGTTTGGCAATGCACAGATGTCTCAATAACAGAAAGTAACACAGCTTGCTCAGCTCATGGGCACCTTCCTTTTCCAGGTTCCTAACGCACTTGGTCGTTCTTTGCAAGAAAACGTGGACTCATGACCATCCTTCTGTGACAACATTCTTCATTAATACCACATTTACATCCTGTTTCTTGGCGTCTGTGTCCAACTACAAAACAGCTTGTCATTTCAATGCTGAATCATAGCAAAATCTTTTGGAGGACATTTCTAAATAGCAGTTCAATGCTCACATTAAACTCACAAATGTATATATCTCAACTGAAGCAATAATGACGTCAATGGCTATAAATTGTTATAACCCAGAGGCTATACTTAGGAACGCCAGGGCAATAATGTCATGACTGCCCGTTGGTGATGGATTTTTAATTTTTTTCTATACCGGGGATTTAACCCAGGGGTGCTCTACCACTGAGCCCATCCCCAGTCCTTTCATATTTTTTAAATTTTGAGACAGGGTCTCACTCAATTGCCAAGGTGGCCTCGTCTTGGCCACCCTCCTGACTCAGCCTCCCCAGTAGCTGGGATTACAAACTTGCACCTCCATGCCTGGTGGCTGATGGCTTTTGAAAGGCACTGTTGATTAAGATGAATCTCAACTTCAGAGATGTTAGGCTGTGGAAAATCTATGCATCTTAGGACCAGTGGAAATGCAGTGGTTCTGTTGGAGTCTATAATTAGGGAGAGAGTTTTGCACTTAGAACATGTTTCTTGAACATCCTGCTTGCTGGGGAATGTTCGGAGGCTATGGTGGTAAACAAGCTGGATGACTCTTCTGCCCACATGGAGCTCACGCGGTCGGGAGGAGACACAGTAAATGAATAATTAGAAGAACGATCGTGCTATTCTAAGTACAATGAAGGAACTAAACAGGAGGCTGAGCTGGAGCCTCATGGTGGGGCAGGTACATGACGTATACACACATTGGTGACAGGCCTTCTTAAATCTGGCTGATTTCCAACTAAGTCAACATTTGGATTTT